TGTCGTTCAAACCCATGCATGTGTGCTGTCTTCAGCCCTGTATCTTGCCAAAAAGTTTTCATGTGTTGATTCATGGGAAATAATGAAGTTCTTCCCATTTTTTGTTTCATAATTTTATGTACTGGCAGTTTGCATGTTAACTATTTATGGCGCCTTGGAGTTGAGCTCAATATCTGACTCATTCACCAAGGGACCTGTTTTCTAAATTGTCCAAAATATGAATTATTGCGATTTTACTGCAAGTTGAGCTCCACCTTTTATCTCCGGTCCATGAACACTTGACAGGCATCTTTTGCACTAAATTTTGCATTAATTTTTTAGTCTATATGCCTTAAATGATTTAATTGGCCAAGTTAAGTATTGCTATGCCATCTTATTAATCATTAGTCATATACGTAGAAAAATAAACAATTTTTTATGTAATAAGATTTATGAATTTGTATATATCTTTTCTAAGAAAAAAACTTATGGCATTTTTATGGAATGGCATACAACACAAATTATTTCCACTTCATTTGTTAGCAAATCAGAGCTTATAATGTCAAAATTTTAACAATACTTCCCATAAAGCCAAACAAAAATAAATTTTGATCCGGGTGGAATATCTTAGCAACGGTGACGGTAAAGGGTAGAAGAACTAGACATTATAAATGTGAGACAGACATCTTGCTAAATTCAATTTCTACAGATCGTAGGATAAAATACCGTCTAATCCATATAGGCTTATCAATGGCTAATTCGTAAGTGAAATCTAATGACACAATTCATCTGCTTTGCTGACATCTTTCAGTAGTATTTTTCGATCCTTTTGCAATAGGATGATCAGTTAAGTGTAGCCTTGATAATTTTAATTCGCCGCCGTCCTCTGTATATACCATCAGAACAAAAGGATTAAGATCGATGAACTTCCTGTTGAAAACAGTAATATAAATTGACATATTTTATTTACTTATTTATATCAAATGGCAGGCGTTTCGATAGTCATCACTAACTCTTTATTTGACTTCGAGCTTCACAGAGAGGAAGGAAATCAATGTGGGAAAAGTCGAGAGGGGCGGGGAACAGACGAGTGTTTCAATGATGTAAAAGAGACAGACTCAAAGGTAGAAAAATGGTGAGGTGAGTACTGTGGAAGTAATAGAAAATGACATATAGTGGGATGATAGTAGTTTGAAGTCAGAAGTCAACTGCCGGTTTATAGCCTTTTTTCTCTATGAGTATACGTTGCCCAGTGTGCACCACGTGGAGGTAAATCTATCACACACCTTAATTCAAATATATGTTTTGTTAATTGGGTTAAAGCTTATATATTTCAAGTTTCTATCAAAACGCTACCTTAGAGAAAAATTTAAATTAAATCAGGTTGGAGAATAAATAGAAGTTAGGTATCATTGATCACAAGTTAACCATTTCTGGAGGGTTCAAGATGCAAATTTTTCCTTCCTTCTGGAAGGGTAATCCTGTATTGGTAATTACGCTTCTGTTCCTTGAAGAATAAATTTAAACTTGATGTTTATTGCTTGAAAGTGACTCAAAATTCTGGCAAACTAGTAGTTATGCTTGTGGTTTTGTTTCAGAAAATAGAATGGCTTTAATGGAAGAGTTTTGGCATTCGTTGCATCTTCATCAGCAGATCTGTCGGTCAATATTAACATTAACAGAGGAGTCATAGAAGATGTAAAAATAACAAATTAAGATTCTATAACTTTTTATATGACATGCAAATTTCTTATAAAGCTGGTTATTTTAATTAAATTTTATAAATTTAGAATAGCCTGTACCTTCGTTTTTTAACCCTAACCCATACGATTTGCTACCGCTAGAATTTATCCACTCAATTCGAGTTTCTTCGATATTTGCACTCACCTGAACAGTTGCATCATCTGCATAAATGCAAATTTGTTGAGATTTTCGATCACTTGCTTAATTCCTCGAATTTCCAGTCAGTTATCCGTTCAACCGAAGTTTACGTTTAAAATTCAAATCGCCTTTCTTCTCTCTCTCTCATTTGACTTCTACTTGACCCATACAACATTTGATTCCAGTACGGTCATTAGGAAATTACAATTTAAGAAAACAAATTTCAAACCAGATTCGCAGTACATTTTATATATCTATTAAATCAATTGTGACTCTGTTTTTTTCTATTTAAATACACAATTAGCCGAATATTTAACGTAAGCCGTTTAATCAAATGTAAACGCATTATGACCGGCTTAACCACTCTGGAAATTTGATCACCTGTATTCGCCATTAAAAATGATAACTCGCAGAAAATTTCAAATGTAAATTTGAATTTCTTGCCATATACCAGTCGTACTTTTTAATAACTTCTTTCAATTTTTTAATTTCCGTAAACAAATTATATTTTCCACTTATATATATATATATATATATTGTTTATAATGAAATCAAAGTATTTCTTCGAATTTTATTTCGTTACATAATGAAGTTACTGGTAATCTTTGTCATAATCGCTTTCGAATACTCCGCTTAAATCCTTAATTTCATAACTCTAGTGGTGAAAAAAGTGACTTTAATCTTTGTGTATTTATTATTGCCTCTATTATGCGAACCAATCATAAAATGGCATTCGAAAATTCAAATAGCATGTAAGATGGCAATGATCATAAATTCTATTTGCATTTTTATTTTATAAATTCTCGAGATGAATACTTTTTTAGGAAATAGGAGTCATTTTGCAAAAGATAAAGGAGATAAAGCGTAGTATGCACGATTTGATTGAATTGCATTTTCGGATAGTCGATAAAGGCGATTTTGATTCCATAGAAAATGAGAGAATACTGACGTTACCTTTTCAGACACAACGAAGCTCGTTTGAGCTCTATTGCTATTTATATTGCAAGAATTCAGTTAAACTGTTTTTGCCGCATAATCTTTGAATAATTCTAATTTCACAACAAATATTAATTAAGTAACAACGACAGTACTTTTCAGCATAAAATATCTGTATATTGGCATATCATGTGAGCAGAGATGTCAATTAGCGTTTAATATTGGCTTTTGAGATATATTAGGATATCTTGTGTGCGAAACTCGGAAAAAACATTACCAAATTTAAGTTTTATTAATTATGCAGCAATTGTTCGAATTTCATTACTGCCTGTTAAACTACGCCACGCATGAGCGCGTGTTGTTTTAATTAAACGTCAAATTCCTCTCTTTTACGGTAAATTAAAATAGAATAATATGCTGCTTTTAGATTTTACGCTTTGATCGTCACCATAACTGTAAAATTATGCCAAAACCAAAATATTGATCGAAATTACCTTGATAATATTTGATATTTTTAATTAATAATAAATTTTTGTTCAGTTTTGATGAAAAAACTTTTTTAATTCGTCAAATCATAATAGTAGAGTTTGGAATTCGTAATAAAAGATCACATATTTTTTAATATTGGGTTTTATATAGAAACTCTCTCCAATCACATTCTCTGATTCGCAAGTTTACATTTTTTTAGTTATACTCTCTATTCATTGGATGAGAATTTTCCCCACTAATTATGGAATCAATAAAATCTGGGTATTTTAATGATCTAATTTGGAATTGCGTTCCGTTTTGTAAGGAACATAAATAATCTGGTTGAGTTTTTTCCTTAGTTTACAGACTCCACTTTCACTAAACAAAGAGTTTGGCTAAGTAATTTGATAATTAAGGATATATATAGTTCTTACTTCCATAAAATGGTTCAATTATTTGTCCTCACTAAAGCAATTTCACTCCTAATAAAAGCTCCATTTTAATAAATATGATATTAGGGAGAGTATTTAAATAATGGAAAGTATACTCACAACAAAAAATTAATTGATGAAATGAGAAATTGTGCCTATTTAGATAGAATAAGGCTATTTTTCGGAAAATATTTACCCAAATGAATGCTGAAATTTTAGTATAAGATTTAATATCCACGTTTATCAAAATGCTTTTACTTAATTTAAAAGCAAATGGAGATACAATTTCAAAATTATTTTGTTTTTTAAGAAACCATATTGATGAAACTTCGATTATCATTTAATATTAAAGTTGAATGTTTAAGCAGATCTGACAGGAAAACAAATAAAATGGAAATTTTCGGAAGTTTGAGGAACGAATTAAATTTACTCAATTATCTGTTAAATCGGGAGGTAGTAAATTAGCTACGAAATATTTTCCAATTATTGTAAAATAGTCTTTCCTTAGAGATTATATTCAAACATCTAGATTTATTGTTAATAATTTTATCTATATTTCTATAAATTGGTGCCAACAATACTAAATTGTTAATAAGTATTAACACCGAAGAAACACATAATTACTCCGTTATGGAATGCAATTAAAGACTTGTCTATGGTGAAATTAAGCCTCAATATGTCTTATTCAAATCTTTTCTTTAAGAATTGGATTACATATCATAACTTGGTTGTAAAGATAATGACGTGCTTTCTATATTCATGGAACTAGATATGACCACCAGGTACCTATACGGGCTCATTCTAGTGATGATTTAATTAACATTAAATTAACTACATAGATCGGTGATTCGTTTGACCATTTTTATTAACATAGCTACTTCAGGGCTGAGCTCAGTGGAATTTACAGAAATTAACTGTAATTCCCTGCATATTTTCAAATTTTTCAATAAAAGTAAAATGAAATCTATAACTGACTCCATATAATGTGTATTCATGACGTCATTCGACTAAAATCAAGACCAACGCGCACTACACTTAGTCCTACGCACAAAGAGAATAGTTGGATTAATCTAGATAAAGGAGATAGCTGGCTAAAGAAACTTTTAATGCGCAATGTTAATTTTTCTGGCATTGCAAGTCTTCGCACTTCGTTTAAACAAAAATCCACACTTATTTTATATGCAATTCTCTATAAGTTCGTTTTAACACTACTTGGTTAGATAACGAATTCCAATGCTTTGAAGGATATTGCTACTTAATGGAATTATATCTGCTGCAATCGATTAATATTTTAATTTCAGAAAAATGTGCGCCATGAGAAACCTCCGCAAGGCTCCACCCGTGCCTTCTAGAAATTCTACTACTTCTCTTCAACTTCAGTTTAATTCCATAAAGAAACTTCCAGCCAGTACCCAACAACAGTCTCCATGTTCTCAAACTATCCCTACTCTTCAAAGGTACCGTGTTACTCCATTGGATCTTATGAGACCGGTGAAGACAAAAGCTGAAACGGTTTTAGTAAGTTGGTTAATTCTGTTCACTTGAAATCAGTCAAATTCAACAAACTAGGAAATTCTGACATTTAGCATATAAATTTCAGTAACTGAACAAACTGCCAAGTTGAAATCTATAGAAAACTTTGCCCTTTTTCTATTAAAATGACTACAATTAATATAAGCACTTGCTTATGAGCTTTAAAGATACACTCAAAAGTCTATACTATTAGGACGAAGGGTCGCAATGCAAATAAGTGCGACAATTAAGTAAAAATAAAACGTTTAAAAAAAGGAATCCAACACTGTATAAGATCATTTCGTTAATTTTGCAAGTAAACATTGATCGGACACGATCGATTGTCATGTCAGATAAAGCAAAAGGAGACAAATCCGAAAAAAGACTGATCGTGGGATTGGGATTGACTTTGTCATGTCGTGATTTGCTCTGATATGATCTACAATGATAATAGCGTGAAAGTTTTTTGTCGTTGTTATGACACCAACCTGTCAATATAATGCGATTGGTTTCGCATTTTCTAAGTATGTCGAGGCGATTTCCATATTTAGAATAACATCATATTTAATATCCCATCAAAAATTTAGTTTCATATGATAAATTTTTTAACGATCTCTAAGTTGATAAATCCTGCGTCGTAGAATCAATTTGACATCTTTAAAAATTTTTGTTTTATTATCCTTATTATATATAAAGCAGTGGACATTATTGCAGTGTTTAAATTTAAGTATTACCGTTAAATGATTCTTTAATTGCATGATTTAAGTAAAAAATGATAATTATTCTAGAAACTGCTTTAAATTTTATTTAATTTTTGCTTATCTTTTTTAGCTCTATACAGAGTGGGCGAATCACTATTTGCAAAAGGCCGGCTACGATTGTGTAATCACAGATCTGCAAAATGATCTACGTGATGGGAAAATGCTTGTCAACCTTACTAATGCCGTAGGTAAGTGACATTAATTCTGCTTCTTTTATAATGCCTTTCACTTTAATAAAAAACGTTGGGAACAATTTTTTCCAATCGCCTCGTTTAGATATTGATCCAAAATTGAATTAGTTAAATGGATTTGTCAAATAGCGTATAATTTAATATGACTTACTTAAATGTATCCCTCATAATCAATATTGCAACCATATCACAAAGCATGGTATAGTAGATTTATTTTAGATACTTTAAGTATTCTTCTATCTTGAAGAAAAATTAAAAGTGAGAAACAATTTCGAGGAAAGAATGCGTCAAATACAACTGACAAGACTTTCAAGGTCTAATTATCTCACTGAGAAAAAAATCAATGATTTAAAGACATGATAGTACCTTCTTTATTTTATTTATAATTATTACTGTCATTTTCACTTATTTTACTTTACTTTCAGTCAACGAAAATGTGAATCTAAAAGGAGCAAACAAATCCCCAGTAAGTCCATTCAAATACTAATCTGTGTTTTAAATTTATTATGAGCTAAAAATAACTATGTCAGATTAAGTTGATAGCAACGGGAATAAGGAAAAAATAGTTTTTATGATTGAGTGTTATAAAGACATTCATCAATAAGTTAATAATCACCCATGCAATAAATAATTCCGGTATTGATCACTAGGAGGAATTAATCAATATACAAAAATGCTTATGCTTTGCATAAGTAATGTAATACATAAAAATTTTTTTTGGTAAATTAGTGACTTTCAACTGACGATATATTAAAAGCACCAAGACCATATATAAACCAGTTTTGTATGATAGTATGACGCATTTTGTACTTGTAAATCAACTCTTAAAATTAATTTAAATTATTGTTTAAGTAAAAATACTACATTTTGGAGCGTAGGGGTTTTATTAGCAATGCTAAACAAGTTTGATTTTTAAGTTAAACATTGTTTAACAATCAATTTTGTCACAATGTTTAACTTATGTGAAGTATTAAAACTTTGCTTTAGCCATTGAGACCGATTGGCGATATTACTATTTTTAATTAAAGATTGATCAAAAATTAATATATGCATCTAATGAGAGAAATAAAAACGATGAACTAAAAATAGCTTTCGTGAATATCTTCAACTTCAGACTTCCATACACACAAGCACGAACCAACTGAGGTACCAAAAGTTTGAAATTTAATTAAAAGATCACTTTTATTTGATTTGAGAATGAAAAGACAAACAGATAGTAGTTTGACTCAAATAGCAATTTTAATTTTAATAGTCTTATTAATAGCTTGATTGCTATTCCAATATTTTAAATAGAATAATTTAAAAGCAAATTTATTTTAATTAAAATATTTTTAACAAGGCTCGTTGTCAAAGAACCTACTATAAACTATATCATATTTAAGATAAATCATTTTTGAAATGAATAAAGAAAAATATGAGTTCTTTTAATACGATGATACTATCTTATTTGATAGATGTAAGTGGTAAATATGGCCTTCATAACCTGGGTTTAATACCTTTCTTGGAGTTGTACTTTCCGAGGAAAACAGAATATTTTTAAACATTCACTTTTAAAATTTCAGTTTTGAGAACAGAGGGGGTCTTGAATAATTTTACATTAAATAAATCATTGAATAGTTATTTAGTATTGTTCGTAAGTTAGGCTCTCTTTCATAGCAAAACTTAAAAATTCGCAGTAAATTTTTGCTTGTTAAAACATAATGAGAATTCGTTGGCATAATTTGGTTACTTTTAAAGTACTTATTTTATTATGGCTGTTAAAGCCCAAAGGTAGGAGACACTTATAAAATTGTGTCAAATGATAAATGACCATCAGGTGCTTGCAATCCATCTTTCCACAAAGTGGAGTGTGATTTAGCTTATTTAAAGATACACTTTAATTATGTTATTGGTTAAATTTCATATAATTCTGATTAAGTTCTGAAAGCTGTGTTATAATGCATCTTTGAAATTTTCGTATCATGCTTAAGCTCAACTTTCTCAAGCAATCATTTAATGGAAAAATATATGCTTATGAAACCACTTATTAAGCATCGCTATTTAACATTGTAACATTAATTCAATTTTTATTTTGAAAATACTTTCATAGCTTTCTATTGTTTCATTTTGATGAAAACGGTAGCGCAATTGAAATTTCTATACTATTCTTAAACCTCTCTAAAGACTGGTAACTTCTCTGATGCAGTGTATATGATTTTTAAAGTACCAATAATTCAACAGATCTTATTGGATTTTCAAGAGGGTTTTAAGCAATTTTTATGCCACTGGTCTACAATGTATCACTCTTTCTAATCACAATTATTTATAAAATGCTGTATTAGAAATCTCTGTCCAAACCCTTTAGTATTTTATAGTTTGCTTGCAGACAGAAATCATGCATTGATTGTAGTCTCATTTTAGAAGGAACCATTACTGTTTCACTTGTGTAATTGCGTTCGACTTCCTTAAGGCAAACTAGATATATATTTGGTTGTTAAATGTTAGTAGAAATATAGGAATTGACCATAAATATAAAGAACCCTAAATATAATATTTAACAAACGGATAAAGGTAGTAAAGTTAGTTGGTAGTGTTGACGAGTTAAGAACACTTCTTTTGTCCCTTGTCTCTACCGCCCTCAGAACACTTTCGAGTTACATTTCATGTGACGCATTTGAAATTATTTGCGAATGTGCTGTCTCATTTTCCAAAACCAAATATATCTGTTTAATGTAAGACAAAGCAATTCCTTCTCAAATTACTCCCAGATTAAATGTATTGGCGGTTAACTCACTGCAAATGTATCGTTCCATCGAGTTTTAGCTGACAAAAACAGATATTTGCGCAAAAAAGTTTACCTAAGCATTTTTAGCTCAATGAAGCACATCAGATGGTGTTGACTTGATGCGAATAAAATAAAAATAATAACAAGAAGAATAATAGTCTCTATACTATTCCACTAATAGGCCCATTTATTTAAAGTTCATGTTGAATTGTACTAAAGGTCTTAATATTTACAAGTTCTGAATGTTTAATGGGTGAGCTTTGCAGGACACGTTAATAATTCTTTCTTTCTTTGCATATAGTCTTCATGATTTAAAAACAAAGAGCGCTCTTCATTTGTAAAAATGGCATTACCTTTCATTAAATATGTATATAAGCATAGCTAGCATTCATAGCTTTCTATATAACCCAGTAAACATCAAAAGGATTTAATGACTCTAGATAAAATTACATAATAAATGAATCAATACTTCAGTACGATGGCCAATTACATAAATGGGTATCCAAGTTACGTAAGAAAAATAAGAAAATTTACAACTTTTTGCCAAATAATTGAGTATTTACTTCTATTTCAAATATTGATCATCATAGTGTTTTATTGAATTTGAATATCTTGTTTCGAAATATATCTAAATTAACTCCATTTACGAATGGATAGTTATTGTAAAAGTCTGACTATTCCAGGGTCCTTCAGTATACAGCTTCCTATTGAGTAAAGAAGATCTAGACTCAGGTTTGAAAGTCGCTGAGTGTTTAGAGAAGAAGAGGGCAAATGTAAGGGTAAACACAAAGAAGCTAGAAATGGGGAATAGTTGAATCTAATTTTAGTTTAAAGATTTAAATCAGGATATACGAATTTGAATAATGTTATACAAACAGGTAGACCATCTTTAAAATTCCTCTCTTAGCTATGGGATATTCATCGGGGAAACTCCTATGTTCGTTGTTAACTGTGTAATTACGCTTATAGTGCACAAGTATACTAAATAGGGTATCAACTTGAATGGCATCGCATAAACTCTCTCAGTATAATTAAAGAAAAGTAAGGAAACACGTTCATTACCCTGTTGTCTTGACAACGAAAAATCATCCTTTTAAACTAAATTGTTGCTGGACACAGTAAAGAAATAATGGTTAGCATTAAATCATACCCCACTCCTTACGCAAAACTAAGGTTGACGATTCGGAGGAATTTTCTAGGCCTCTGCAAGCTGAATATTCCATTTCAAAAATACTGGCACCAAATGAATCGGTTATGATCAGAGTTTATTTAAATTTTAAACGGGATGATCAATTCAGAAAGTAAAAGTATATTTATCTGAAAAGAGATAATTCGTCAGCATGATTATGAATGAATGATTTCTCAAGAGTTTTGTAATCCAATATTAGAGACTCTAACATGCCTTCAAAAGTCGCCAAACCTCGCGCAATTAGATTATCATCTTATTTGGGGTGATAGTAGCCTACCATAAAAGGAAAAATGATTTTGAGCTTCGACTGAATTCGTTAACCACTTGAATGCATATTGGATTTCAGAATTGAGCGGATTTTTTCAAAAGTCGACGTCGAAAAAATATATATATTTATTTCAAATGGCAGGCGTTTTGATAGATATCATAAGCCATTTAGCTGACATCGGGCTTCACAGAGGGAAAGTTCATCAAAGTAGCAGAAAGTCGAGGGGTGGGGAACAGAAGAGCGATTCACAGATGTAAAAGAGGCAGACAGACACAAAGGTAGAGAAAAAGGTAAGGTAAGTACTGTGGAGGTGGTCGAATATGACAACCATGGAGGTCGTGGTAGTTTGAAGTCAGAAGTCAAATGTCGGATAATAGACTTTTTTGCGTATGAGTATACGTTGCCCAGGGTGCACCACGTGGAGGTAAGTCTATCGCATACCCCACGTCGAAATTATGAGTGCATTGAAAAGGG